CCCCGAAAGCTCCTCCACCATCCCTTCCTATGGTTGCCGCTGGCGGGCCGGCAATGTCTGAAGCCAAGTGTTTACATAGACATAACTATTTTTACATAACTTTTTTGCATGTTAGATGCAACGAATAGAAACTAAGATGCCCAAAAAAGGTACTTGCTAAAGTGGTAAGATGTCATGCATCCTATATGGCAAAGACTAAGAAAAACTCAAGAAGCTGTAGCCCTGTAGGATATCAAGAAGAACATAGAGCAAACGTACCTGATAGCCTACAACACATAAAAAAGGAAGGTGGATATGATCAAGAATGCCGCAAAAAATAAGAATTGGATGGGAGGTAGGTGTTTCTGAGCTGCCTGCTGTCTGGCTTTATAAGGCATAATTTTGCCTTTCAATTTACACAAGCCAATCAGCACCCTACGGCATCTTTGGGTATATCCCTTTTGAAGTCAACGGTTTTACAAACATTGCTTCTTCCTTGTGAATTCTCACTATTTTTTTGAATACTTTCCGAATAACAATTAATCACATGAATACCTAGTTGCCTTTTGGTATAAAGTTTAAGACGCTAGTCTATCATCATTGAACCAAGGTTATTAGAGAAGATTGTCAACTTTGCCTTGTATTTCTTACCAGCAATCTTATTGTTTTAAGGGCTGTCTAACATAAATTTTTGTGATCACATTCGCCGACCTAGAAGCACGTGTAAGCCCCAAAAATTAAGCAATAAGAAGATGGTGCTGCTTGATTGGTCAAAACTGTCCAAAGGGCCACTATTAAATCCATTGTGCTTTGTGCAACAACTTTCAATGGATATAGTGAAGAAAAGAAGAGATCATTTGAAAATACTGCTGTGGATAAATTTAGGAAAAATTATGGGTTGAATGGAGAATTTGAGTCATGGCAGACCCCTAGACCAGTTAACTGCATAGGGTTATAGATTCTATGCTTCTAGTGGAAATCCATAAACGACTCGTTTCCTCATTCCTGCTGTGGCAGTAAGAAAGTCTTAGAACCTGAATTCTATTTGGTATTTTGTCGAACTTTTTTTGGCAGATAGGAGCTAGTGTGTCTTTTAATTAGAAGCACTAGCAAGGCATAAAAAAGGTTCATCTTTTAATTCCCTTTTACTGTTTGTGAGCTAGAAGACAGACCAGAACTTTTCATTTTTGTTTATGCAATAACTCTTTCTTTCTTTTTTTGGGCATCTTATCCGCAATAAGAATTCAAACAGATACCATTTTATATTCCTATTTACAGCAGCATTGAACTCTGCATCTTTGGATGCCACCTTTAAATGTGAATCAACAGCTATGGATGATTTTCCAGGAACAAGAACTCCATTTGTCAGCAACACCAAGGGGACAAGTTGTTATTGTCTCATCAGGGATTGGTCGAGAGACTTTGGGACCTCCTAGTTTATGAGTTTAGTCAACAGAATGGGGTACACCAAAAGCAATAATGACTTGCCATGAATCTTGTATGGTCCGCAACAACATGTTTTCGTCAAGAAGATGCCTGGAAATTTTGCAAGGATGGAATAATTTAGACGACCTTAAGCCAAAATCACAAATTGACCTTGAAAGACTACTAATTCTCTTTCTTCTGTTGCCTCAAATGTAATTTCCAGTCTTTTTTTAACTTCTTCATTTAGGGGGGAATGAAAATGATTTTTGCTTTCTTTCGTCTATGGTAGTTATGCTTGACCCTAATAAGAGGTACAATATGGGAGTTGTATTGAAAATGTATTGAAATTTCATCAGTAGTTTCACCATAGGAAAAACTTTGCAGGGATCAGCTGGTCAATAAATAGTTTGAGAGTTACTTTCAGTTTGTAGTATATTTTGTCAGTCAAATTTTATGTCATCATTGCGCGTTAACGTAGGGGTACGTCAAAATTTAATATGAGAAAATGCCAGTATTTTTCTTCCAAGATATTGTAGCTCATGGATGCTTATTCCCTAAAGAACAAGAAGATTCCAACTTCCAATTGCAATAATATCTTCCCCAGCCCCAGGAACTCGAAGACTTGCTGTGCTCCAAATTGCTTATTGATGCAAGCATGCGTGCGTGTTCACGCTGCATGATCTTATGAGGCTGTGTTTTGCAGCTTACTGATAAATTTTAGAAAAGGGTGTTGTTATTCATGGTGTTCCAATGTCGTTGATATTGGCGAGAGTCTATACAGATGTTGCTTTATAAAGATAATGACTACAAAAGATAAAAACCCATCAAATTAGAAATCAAATAATTTGAGACAACGACTTATCAAATAAGATGTTGTTAAAAGCAAAATCTAAAACCTAACTAATCTTCAATATTATCCATATGTGACATTCTACGTTGAGCTAAAGAAGAAAGGATTAATCTTTCATACACTAACACTACTGTATACACTGTCATCGTTGAATGAATGATAACTATACAAAATTTGAATTTAAAATTCAACTTTTGCGCGTATATCATGAATCCAACAATGACAGTGTATATAAGATTTACTCAAGAAGAAAAGAGCAATAGAAAAAATTGTAGATCCTTTGATACAACCAAAAAAAAAAAAATCAATAATTTGTGTATGAGCTGATTTTGCTTATTTTAAGTAGACTGAGAAAAGGTATAGAGTTGTTTAGTGAGAGAAGACAAACATTTCCTTCTTTTTTCTTTGTATCTTTTTTTTTTCCCTAGGTATTAGTGGAGTACACGTATGTCAATGACATTTTCTTGCGGGTACCAGCAACCAGCTTGATCATATGTGTGTGTATATATATATTACATACACTTTGAAGATAATAGGTTTGAGTTTTTCTTTCAACAACCCTGGTCAATTCTCAATATTGTAGGACTAACAGACATAATAAATTTAAGATATCTTTTCACTTGGGGAAAAATTGTTGTATAATAAACATTTTTTATTTTTCTAAATACCTTTTCATCTCATATATATTATATAAAAGAATATTGTGTTTAGATTTTTCTTTTCAATCGTCTTTAGACTTGTTTGTGGCAGCATCTTTTTAGTTAAAAAGCAGAAAATCTGAAATTACTAAATAAGCCTAATTATTCAACTTCACGGATTATATAAATCACAAGTCTTATGTTACGCTAGATTAAGTATGATTTCACCAAGAACAAAAATCTTCTAATTTTCTGGAATTTCAACCTTAATCAATTTAGATCAAGACCTTATCCACAACTCAAAAATTTCATTCATTCACTGAAAACTATACCAGTGGCAGCAATTTGGGACAGAATCTCATCAATCAAAACTATCAAGAAATAACGTCCACAAGGTCCCATCATATGCCTACTAACTGCCAAGAAGTAAAGACTTGAAAGAGACCAAATTATTAACTTCCAAAAAATAAAATAGCCAACAAGTTGTTATAGCTGGGGAAAGCGTGTGGGAAACCGCGTTTATGTAACGAGAAAGTAGAACAATAAGCTAATCAAATTTGCTATCTTGGTCCCCCAATCATCCTCACAATTGACCAAGACTTTCGAAGTAATCTCAATTTATTGAATCATGCTGTATGGAGATTGACGTGAAGCTGAAGGTCTTAGTCCCCAAAAAATTGACAGATTTGTTTAGATCGAACTTTCCATTGCAATTTCCTTACACGTAATTTCCTGAAATAACAGGACAACGAAGAACCAGAATGTGTCATAATCACAATGATGACTAATGAAAGTATGATTTAAAACAAGAAATTAGAAAGTAATTACAACCTCAACTTTTAGTATTTGGCCTTTGTTATTGTCCCTCTCCACCCTCCCTTCCTCCCATTTTCCTCCTTTCTTTTGCATTTTTATCTTCATGCCACATCATTGTAGTTGAATAGTAAAGATTAGAACATTAAGATGATTTTTTTTTTTTTTTTCAGAATTTCTTACTTACAATTTGTCTTCATCTTATCACCCAATCCAACCTTCTCCCATCCTGATGATCAATTTGTTTTATGCTTGTACAAAAACTCGTGCTTAACGTTCACTACTCATTATTTAGGACGCCTATCCCAATTCCTAAAGGGTCTAAAAAATGATCAGATTGCTACAATGAACTTGTGTCCTACTTCTAATCCTTGCAGTAGGGCGAGTGGCATAAATGGTCCATTAGTTGAATACATGTCTTGGCTACTGTTTCACATGAAAATGATGCATAGTTGAAGGGATTGCTTATTATCAAATACAAAGAGAGAATTCCATCCTAAATGCTACAAACTTCTGTTGCCATATTCTTTAGCTATGTCGCAGAGAATTTCTTATTCTCCCGTTCCACTTTTTTCTTAGATTTTAAGATTGGAACCCTGAGTATTTCCTGTATAGTTCCTCTCCATTCCCATCTCCTTGATCAATATTTGATCCTTGATCATAGTTGATAGCTGCTAGTGTATGATGCTCATGGATCCAAACCAATACATAGGCAGCCTATATTCCCTCCATGGTATATAATTAATCTGTCTTTCAATTGCAATCTTGTTTTTCCTCTGCCCAAGCACACGTTTTGGTCTTTCAAAATTGACTGTGACACACATAATTTGCTTCTTAAATTCTTCCCTTTTCCCTTCTCCTTTCTTTCTGAATGGGATGGCACTTCCCTTAAACCCCCCACCCCCCCCCCCCCCCCCCCCCCCCAAAAAAAAGAGAAAAAAAAAAAATCAGAGACAGAACTAGAAGTCAGTGCTAATTTTAACTAAAGCTACACTAAATTAAGGCCACAAGCCACATTGAAAGTAACCCTATAGCCTTATTACTCCCAATATTCATTCTAATTAGTATTCTACTAAAAAAGGAATTCAAAACCATTTACAGCATAAAAGAGCCCCCACCAGCCCAGTTTAGACCCTTTTCAGCTTGACTGCGCAACCATTGAGTACTTGTCTCAGAACAAGAAAATTTCTTTCGACAGTTTTGAAAAAGCACTCTAAATTGAGATTGGTGACGGAATTTTCATTAAAAAAAAGGGGAAAATTTTTCAAAAAATTGATTTCTAGGGGACAAGAGAGTTCAGGAAACTAGATGGGGTTTTAAGCATAATTACAAGGAAAAAACTGAAGGATCTAGCTGGAAGATAAAAATGGTTCACTACAGTCATTAAAGCATATACAACATGCAACAGTTATCTAGTTCCACCATATATTCTCACACCTAATGCCTCCCTCATAATGAGTAAAAAGGATTACCAAATCCCTTCTACCCCAGCTTTTAGAGTCAATAAGAGTATTTGGTTTTTTTCAGAAATCCAACTCTTACAAAATCAGCCTGCAACATAGACAATTATTACAGCTTCCCCAGAGGCAACTGCCAAGGGAAAGAAATCTTCAATCTACTGTCCCTGCTATATGGTGTTTCAATCTCTGTCCCTTCGACCAACATGGTTTGCAGAACTTTCATCTCATCTTCATGCTTTGTATGGCACAGATGTAATCAGCAAGTATTTAAGGAATTCCTTCTGCAGCTGAACAAAACTCATCCTACTTTACCAAGAAATGACTGCCAATGAAATTGAAAAAAAAAATTTTAATACAGTATATAAAGGAATCTGCAGCACCAATTGTAATTCTAACCAATTGTCCAATCATCCCAGAAGTTTTATGTTCAGAAGTTCTTCTCTGAAGGCTCAGAAAAAGTTCAATGACATGTTTATGCTGACTTTGTGAAAGAAATAAAATGTCACTAAATGCGCTAAGTTCTTCTACATATTACAACTTACAGTCTTACGTTGAAAATAAAAAACAGTATAGCAGACTAAAGTTCATTTTGGATCATTGCACCACAATGTCAGAACTTTCTTAAAATGTATCCTAAAAAAATGTACCAGACTCAGAATATTATATAGGAAATCAAAATCTGCATTTATCTTTCAATTCATTAATCATGATATCTACCTTTATGTACTTAAATTCAGACTATGCAGCACTATTCTCTAGGTTCTATATTTGCAACTCTCTTGAATTGTTACTACTACAATTATTCTTTTTTGGGAGCATATTCCATCTACCCCAATGACTACACTATAGTAGAATATTCATTACTGCGATTGGCTCCAGATTTTGTCCCACTAAACATCTGTCATTTCACTCAATAAGCATTTGCTTGAAAGTTGAAAGCTATCACGCAAAATCAAACGAAAGCACCACAAAAGATAATGTACTGCATGACAGGAGATCTGAGACAAAGGAGTGAGGCACTATTCCCTAACAAAATACGCTATTTCATAATAATGCAATAGTTAATCTGTTTTGTACGTCTGTTTTAAACTTCTCTTTAGACATACCCCCCCAAAAAAAAAACTCTTTACACAAGTTCAAGAAAATAACTAAACCTGATGACCAAGTTAACAAAAAGTAATTAATTTGGAGGCCATCCTTGCAAAGTGGAACTTCAAGTCTACAAAAGTATGGGGGAAAATTGGATTCAAAAGGAAGGAACCAAGAGGGTTACCACCTTTGTCTTTGCATGAAGGTTTCCAGTTTTAGTTCTTCTGGTGCTCCCAAAACCAAATTTTGACTTCTTCTCAGCAGGCTTTAGTATTTGGAAAGAGCACATCAAAGTCTCATCGACGCTCATCATTGCACCAGCATTGTCAAATTCTCCACAGTAGTTAGGGGCAGAGAATATTGTTACAAGTTGTCTATCAGCGAAAAACTCATATCCATCTTCCACAACCTGCCACAAGTACATAAAAGGACATAAAGAAAACACTAAGCTGACTAATTCAATGCATAAATAGAGATGATTCAACTCAAACCTGGTGAGCCCGGCAGATAAGATCCAGATCATTCTTCTCAAGAAATTCTAACACCTTATCATGGCCAAAGGTATATGACACTCCCCTATCATTCATCCCCCATCCTTTAACATCCTTACTTGGATCTGACCATAGGAGATCACAAAGCAAGCCACTCTCTGGAACATCAGTTGGACGCTGTAGTTCTAAAATTTGATCCACATCATGCAGGTCCGGAGAAAGTCCTCCATGCATGCACAATATCTTGTCATCTATCAAAGCTGCTACAGGCAAGCAATTAAAACATTCTGTGAATACTTTCCACAGTCTGACGTTGAATCTTCGTTTGCACTCATCGTAGAACCCATATACACGATTAACAGAGGCACATTCATGGTTGCCCCTCAGAAGGAAGAAGTTGTCAGGATGCTTGATCTTGAATGCAAGTAGAAGACATATTGTTTCAAGACTTTGTTTTCCTCGATCCACATAATCCCCCAAGAACAAGTAATTGGACTTCGGGGGCAATCCACCATACTGGAAAAGCCTAAGTAGATCAGAATACTGACCATGAATATCCCCTGGCAATGAATACAGATAAACAACCAAATGAGAAAAAACACTGACATTGTCTGAAAACATCAAATTATCCTAACCAGAATAAATAAAGCAGCTCCAAACAGCAATGTGATAAAGTTCAACAATAGTACAACCCACAAACTGCATCTTGTTGAAACCCAACAAGCAGAGGTGGAAACAAACTTAAACAAGACCAAAGGACTAGTCTCTATCACGAAGAGGTCCATACTACCCCTATAGTCAATTACATCTAAGTTGAGTTTATTTCTTTTCACCCTACCCACTCAGAGACCAAGGGGGAAAAATTTTTTTATTTTCTTACCTCTCAAAGAATAAATACTCCCATTTGCTAGAGTTCTATAATGGTGAAGCTTATAAAACACAGCTGTTAGTATACATAACACAGTAGGATGATTGTAACTAAACAGATCAAGTTAAAGAAGCACATAAGTGAAAAGCTAATCGTTGTGTATTGCTAGAGAAAATCATGTGTGGACATATGCTATGATAAAACATTTGACACGAACCAAATTAAGTAGAAAAAAACTAAATGAATGCATCAGTGGCAGAAATAGGTGAACAAGTTTTTGAATGGGTAACCGGGTACAATTACCAGACAAAAAAATAAGCATCTTCAACCGCAACCATACAAAACCTTGCATATCAGACATGGGGCTTTTGTAAACAATGCAGGGCACAGCCTCCCAACGGTCAACAAATTAAATAAAAAACTACCAAAAGTTAACCATATGAAGCCAAAAAATATAACATCCAACTGTCACTTTTTCAGGTTTAGACATGATGTATCCAATAATCACGATAGTGAAATTGCCTTAAATGCATTTCATTTTGATATGTAATTACAAGAGAAAGACTAAAACATTTCTGCTTCCATATCCAAACTAATGAAAAACTAAATGCTGGCAACAAAAGCCATACAGGAAAAAGACAAACACATGCCCCTAATATTCCAACAATAATAAATAACTAATTTTGTTGGATCCTCAAATATTTTCCAACAAATTGTGATATCAGTTGGTTCAGCAGAATATCACCTGACTTGCTGCATTCAGTGCTTAAATTCCATAATAAATTACAAATGAAGACTAAACCTAACACCAAGCCAGCAAGGGTTCCCAAATGAAGATTAAAGCTAACACCAAGCCAGCAGAACAGAAATTCAATTAATCACAGCCAATCAATGACAAGATTCACTCTGCAACCCAAAAACAATAGGAACACATATTATGCGCACTGGCAATCATCAGCTAGATTCCAAATCAACATAAACAGCACTTTAGATAATGCTCCATTTGCGAAATTGATGAACATTGACCATAATCGTCTATTTCACTTAAACAAGAGAACATCCCTTTGACACACCATAAGCACATTATCATTTCAACCACTATCTTCATCATCTTCTGGACTATAATCTAAATCAGTAACTGCAATCACCTATGTCCAATCGGGGACTTCGCATTCAATTTACAATCTGAGGTAGCTATACATGAAGTCTACAACCAATAATTACATATAAAAAAAAAAAAAGTTCACATGGAATACAGTTAGTCGGGGAGAGAGGTGAGAACCAACCACCCCAAGCAAAATCACTCATATTAACGATACCCAACTCAAAACTTTTCTAAAACAAGCAGACTAAAACTTCACTATTCGAACCCTGCTCAGAATACACTTAATTTAACCATTAATCAACTCAATCATAAACCAAACCAAGACCCACTTCAAGAACACAATAAGGCAACCGAGACTACCAAAATGGGAAATAAACAAAACCTTCTCAAAGTAACCCCTCCGATATTAGAGAAAAGAAACATTACCACAGATCTTGATTGGAGCTGCAAGCTCAAGGAGATTAGGCTGTGCCATAAAGATTTCCTTCGACCTTAAACAAAGATGTCTAATTTCTGATTCCGAAAGCTGCACTTGTTTCCCTGGCCTTCCTCTAACCTCAAGCAAACGGTTAATTATATCATCAACAGCCAAAGCATCCATCTTTCCTTACTCAAATCTTCATGCGCCAAAGAACTCACAATCTACCAAAAAATGAACTAAAGTTAACTAGTATTTATCAAGATTCGAATTGTCTCGATCACGAATCAGAAGATAAAGAAAAGGCATGGGAGGAAATGGGATAAAGTGAAGTGGGTTGGCGGAATTTGATGGAATTCTTGTCTGGTTAGCATTTTCTCCAGGGGCGGAGCAAAAGGAGAGGGTTTATAAGTGAAAGAAGAAGACTTTATAGCGACTTTCTTTAGCTTAGAGCATTGGCCATTTCTTTTTTTTTATCTTTTCTTTTTGGTGAATGAACGAACATTCGTGTTTATCTGGTGCGTGACTGTGTGAAGATGAAAAGCAAATAGAGTGAGACGGGGACCGGTGGGGAGCTGAGAGAACGACCCACGTCAGTGACAAATAGGACCAGGGAATTGGGCTTGTGGTGGGGTGAGCCACGAGTACGCTAGTTATTGTTCCCGACGATGTACACCTCAGTGTAGGAATTGTACACCATTATAAATAAACTTTTAACTTTGGCATGCAGTCTTTGCTAACATGTGAAAGGAGGTGGTGCACTACAGAGAATAATAACAATCCATTACAACTTGAAATTAGGCTTTTTGGTCCGTATTGACCATAAATTTGTTTGGGAGGGACGTTTAGAACTGGTAAACCACGACCCTGTCAGATCTATTGTGTAGAAAGTAGAAACTGGAGTGTAAACCCCTGTCAGAACTGGTAAGGTTTTTGCTCTAAGGGATAAATTACTGCAGACTCCATGTAGTTTGGCATATTATGTATGACCCGATGACTCTAACGTTTGAAACTTCTTATTTTTTTCCCGATGTGTCTTTCTAGAATGTGAAAAGTTGACACAAGCCTGTCTTTGTAAAGTCGTTTGTTACAATAAATGTCTCTATGTTTGGATGGCCAATTTTTTCAAAAAAAAAAAATTTTGCTTGCATCATAAACACATTTTTCAATTCGCTTTTTTATCTCGCATACATCACGTCATAAAAAGTGTTACGGTAATTATTTCAAACAGGTTAGAATTTTTGAAAACACCTTGGTACCCAAGCCACCACATGTGACATGTATGTCCCCTGCCATCTTTTAGAGACAATTAAGCAATTCAGTGAGCAAATTGCGGAAGGTTATAACTTTTACAAGATTTATTCAATATAGAATTTAATTAATCTAGAATATATGAAAATGTCCAATAGTCTATCACTTTTTTCTCTATATGTAAAATTCTATCCTATTGAATTAATTATAACTAATGTTAAAATTTCATACTTGGCTAAGAAATATTCAATCAAGAATATTGAGCTTTTTACTATATTGTTCATTATCTTTTATTAGTGAATGCATTTTGTGAAATGAGCATTTGAATTTTAAAATTTTTTATTTGAGTCGTATTAGAGATTGGGCAATGAATTCTGATGAAAATGTATTGTTTTGGATGATTGTTTGTAGGCGAGGGGTTTGTTTGCATTACAGTTTGTGTTGATTCTTAGGAAAATAGGTGAGACATAAGATGAATATTAAAACGTTTGATTACTTAAAGCATTCCATTAAGAATGCTGATGATTGAAGAGCATTTTTAACTTTTTATTGCAGTCTTCATTGTCTTGTAGTAGAGGACAAATTTTTGTAAAGGAAGTGCTTTATATTCAAAATTTTTAATTTTATTGAATTGTGCTGGAGATTGAATAATAAACCTCAGTGTGATTTAATTTTTATGCTTTGAGAAGATTCTTTGTGGGTAAATGGACTTTTTTCATTAGTTATTGTGTTAATTATCATATCCCATGTGGATCGCAAGATGAAATTGGTATGCACCATTCTTTGTTTTCTCAAATAATTAATTTATAAAAGGAGTTGGTAACAAATACCCTACAATTCAACTCTCTTCAAGTAAGTACTCAGTAACTAGCCTAGTCACCTAATTATACATGCAGAGGGTTGGAAAGCTAATCCTTCGCACATCCTTGATATATGCAAAACTATTGAGGACTTTTTTTTTTTAAGTGGATAGTCATACAAAACTAGGAGGGTTAAGTGGATACTGTTGGGTTTGGATTTTATCCCATCGAAAAAATGTGTTTTTTTTTATTTTAGAGATAGAATAAATTAAAGAAAAAGGGTCTAAAATTAGACTTAAAATATGCGACGGTTTAGGTCCAAAATAATAGTTTAAAAGGGATTTTTAAGAAAAAATAAGAATCTCCACTTAGTATCGAATTTAGGTGTATCAAGTGATATTACAATCTCATCACACATTTTGAAGTGCGTTCAGGTACTTTACATAAAACTAAAGGGGCTAACATAAATATTTTAAAACGTCAAAAGGATTATATAGCAATATGCAATACCATAGGCAATTTATTAGTAATGTATCCTTTCTTTAGTTACTTGACTGCTACTGGTATTTTCTTCTTCGAATAACAATGGGATTTTTCTTTTTCTTTTTCTCTTTCCTTTTTGTATTGTTGAGATTGATGTTGGCAATTATGGTAGGCACTGGTGTGGATATATTTTCTTTAACCTGAGTTTAAAAGGATTCCAATTAGGCATGAATTAGACCGAATTGAGAATTTGCTCGCATGATCAAATTCCTAGAATTTGTTGTCATAATAAAGCGTTAATTCTTCGCGCATCTTGGGCTGAGGTGAACACGCCAAGTATGGATATGAGGTAGTGATAAAGCTTTTTTTTATTTATTTATTTAGGAGTATTCCAATCTTTCGACCAGACTGATCTCCTAAAATTGTGTGATGTCTTGTTTCAAGGATACACAGTTAGATAGCACACGAGAGTCGATTACGGAATTTACTAGTAACTATCAGATTATGGAACCAATCGAACTAGCTGCGAGGACTTAATGATAAAGCATTTACTCACAATAAATAATAGTACGAAAAATGTGCAATATGCACAAAATCCAAACTTCCATACTTAAAAAAAGCAAAATTAAAATGTTCATATGAGTTATCGTATTTATATTGGCACAAAATGAAATTTTATTAAATTCTTACTCTGAATTTACCTTTTTTTGTATTTTTTTTTAAATAAAAGGGGGTGTGGAACTTAAGAATCGAAGAGGGAATCGAGAAATTAGAATTCATACCTTCTAATTTTTGGAACCTTAATTTTAGTCGACAACTCCGAATCTACGTATGTGTGTCCAAATGGACAGAAGAAAAGATTCTTATGGGCTGTTAGATTTTAAGCGAGAAGTCCACTCCCTACGGTCCAAGAATCTCTTTTGTCATAGTCCATGTTGGAATATGGAATCTGACGTGACTATCTACGTTGGGTTTAAGCCCCTGGACCAGGTGGAAGTATTCCCTCTTCCCGTTGCCCGACGAAAGGAAAGTGAAAAATGCTGAGTGAATTCCTTTGGAAACCCTAATGCTTTTTCCTGTTTGGTTAACAAAGGAAAATCCTAAGGAAATGGAAAGGAATTCCAAAGAAAGTATTAAAAGTGTAAGGTTGGAGTCTCTTCTTGGAAAAAAAATTTCAAATAATGAAACTTATTAAACAAAGTTTCTAGAGAGTGATATATTTAAAAATTATTCTTAAAGAATGAAAAACGAATTTAGTAAATGCAGTATATTTTTAGTTCATTCTTTTCTTTGTAAGGCATCATGTTTCTTTGTTCAATTTTTTTTTTATTTGCCCTAAAATCTCAGGACATGTGTAATAGACTAGTAGTTAACTTTATCTTATACAGAGATGGATTTCTCCTCCCCCATCCTAATTGAAGTTATAAATTAATCAAGTTATTTGATTTGGGCTCGCAAGTATTGTTTTGAAACCTAGGTTGGGACCGACCGGTTATTGGTCCGACCATGAACTAGGCATGGTTCTAGGCTAATTCATACTTTGGATTTGCTTAGACTTAAGAACCGATGAGAATCATATAAACCGTGTAAATTGTTTAAACCCGAATGAACTACTGAACCAGCAATTTTTTTGTTTTTGTATATTAAACTGAAAAAAAAGAGAATATATTCTTTTTAATCCTAAAGACTAATCACTAAGTACCACATCAATTCACTTTCTTCTCATCTTTTACCTCTTATCAATTTTTCATGCCTACCTTCTAGTTTCCTGACTTCCTTAAGGCTTCAAATTTCTTTTTTTTTTTTAAAAAAAAATTGCAATCTTTAATTTCCGAAGAAATGGTTTAAAGTTTAAACTCACAATATCTATTTCCTAAAGACATGAATTTTGTTTAATTTCAAAATATTGTGGTATTTTTGGGTAGGATTTAAGATTATTTTTTGGTAGAAACATTTGAGATAGAATTTATTTTTTTTAATAAAGAGTAAATCTTTTTTTAATAATTCTTGTTTTTCTTTTGTACGTGGGAGATCTCAAACCTAGAAGCTCTTACTTACACTCCCTCTCCCGTACCACATAATTCAACCCTCTCTCATTATGGAATTTATTTGTTTGAACTTATTATTTAAAAATTTATTTATAAAGTCCAACTTCTTTGAAAATATTAAACTTTTTGTTAGATAAAGTCTTAAATTAGTCCATTGGATGTCTTATTTTATGCACATATACTTATATAATTTATTTTTAAAAAAACTTCATTGAATTAGAGTTGAACCGGTCCGACTAGTTGAATTGTGACTTGAACATCTCTTCGAGTCAATTAACAGTTCGGATTTCAAAACATTGTTCACAAGTAACTCAATCAAAGGCTGGATTCAAATTTAACATTGATCAAGTTTGAATCGAGTTTGAGTTACTTGATAAAGTAATCGAATCAAGTTCAAGTAGAAAAAATTAAAATTCAAGTGCTCATTGAGTCTTATTGAATAGTGTATTTATAACATAATTAAAAATTATCTATTATAAGATTATGAAATTTACTAAAAAATCAAACTCAAAAATTCAATTGAATTTGATTTGGTTGAGTTCAAGTAAAGTAAAATAAGCTTAGGTTAGAATTCAAACTTAATTTTTGAAAAATTTAATAAATTCGAATTCGAGTTTGAACTCAAATTTTTTTTGCTCGAGTTTTAACAAATTTGATGAACTCAAGCTCGAATTCAAATATTTTTGGCTGAGTTTAACTTGATTGGATAGCAACCCTAATTAGACTATTTATTTAGAGCTCTCACAATTACCTATTGCTCGAGGAGATGAGTTTCTTGGGAAAACTTTGACACACACCCGTGTCTCAAAATTTCTAAATAAATTTCCCAAATCCTTGTACTCCGGACATCATCCGGATAGTTCATGTAGGTAAAGAATTTTTTTTTACCCAATACCCACTAATCCAAATCCTTTTTGCGGACTGAAAAAATCTATGCTTTAGCGCCAACCAAGAAAACGAAATCTATATTAATTTCCTCAGACTGACGTTAGGATCAATCAGTGTTCACAAGGGTTTGATGGGTACTAGAGGCAGAAATGATATCAACTATAGAAACCCATGTCTGACAATGCATCAGCCATGGGCTTCTTTGCTTATTTATGGCATCAAACGTGTTGAAGGAAGATCTTGGCCTGCCCCTATTCGAGGTAGCTTCTTTTTTCTTTGAGCTGCAAAGCCCATGTTTCACTTTTTATTTTACTTTGATAATCTCTATTTTGTCTGTTTTATCACTTGCCATGTAAGTGCTTTTTTTTTTTGGGGCAATGAATTTGTGACCATTCTCTCTTTTTGATTGTGATTCTAGTTTTTAGTTTGTTCCATCTTCATATTAGACCCTTTATAGGAGCTTAAATGATGTTGGAGGTGATTTTTTAGCTTGCATTGTTAGAAATTTTATTCCAAGTTTAGGTTTTTATTGTAAAAAGAGGAATAGGGGAAAGAATCAGAGGCAGAAATGATATCAAACCCTTGTACCCATCAAACCCTTGTGAACCAACCCTTTTGTTCACAAGGGTTTGATATCATTTCTGCCTCTAGTACCCATCAAACCCTAGTGAACAAACGTGTTGAAGGAAGATCTTGGCCTGCCCCTATTCGGGGTAGCTTCTTTTTTCTCTGAGCTGCGAAACCCGTGTTTCACTTTTTATTTTACTTTGATAATCTCTATTTTGTCTGTTTTATCACTTGCCATGTAAGTGTTTTTTTGTTTTGGGGCAATGAATTTGGGACCATTCTCTCTTTTTGATTGTGATTCTGAGCTGCGAAGCCCATGTTTCACTTTTTATTTTACTTCGATAATCTCTATTTTGTCTGTTTTATCACTTGCCATGTAAGTGTTTTTTTTTTTTGGGGGCAATGAATTTGGGACCAGTCTCCCTTTTTGATTGTGATTCTGGTTTTTATTCTGTTCCATCTTCATAGTAGACCCTTTATAGGAGCTTAAATGATGTTGGAGGTGATTTTTTAGCTTGCATTGTTAGAAATTTTATTCCAAGTTTAGGTTTTTATTGTAAAAAGAGGAATAGGGGAAGGAAACAGATGTATGCTTTATGGCCCAGTAATGGAAATGTTAGCCAAATTTTGGATGGAATACTTATTGGAAATAGGTTTTGGATTCATTGTGATCCGAATTTCTACCTTTGGACTTTTTTACTGTTTTAGCTGTGGTTAAAAATTTGTATATCCTGCTGTACTTCTGCCACACGTTGCAGTTCTGATTGATACATGTGCTGAAGTGGGGATTGCTAATTGGGAACCAGCACATGATGTTAGTTAAAGCTATTTTAGACATCAGTGTTGGCACCAAGAGCTGAGTGTTTATTTTACGACTGAATGAGTGCATGGTCGTTTATTCTTTAGAAGGCAGTTCTTTTTACCTCTAATTGGACAAAAAGCTGATATAGACATTATTGGTGAAGGAGTTGCAAAAGAATCTGTTGGATTACCAATCTTGCATTTAACGGCAGCTATTAAAGTATGCTTCCTATTTGATTTTAACTTTGAATGGAACTGTATTTTCTTTTCTGGGGAGATATAGGTTCTGAGTTTCTCTCTTTTCCAAGTCTTTTTAGGTGGCAGACAACCTTCAGGAAATTCTTGGATTGGGAAAGGGAGTGGGGTAAAATTAAATACAAAACAAGATTCATTATAGTTGTTCTCAGAGTAGCATTCTACATGTGACTATTGCAGAGTTTAACCTGGTACTTATTGTTATAACACCTATCGTCTACTGAGATTTGCCAAATATGAGTAGAGACTATACTAATTCTGTGACAGCCAGACTATCTTGTGACAATGCCCATTAGCTTACTGCCTTCTATTTACAGCTGCTGTAGAAGCTTGGGCATCCTTCTCCAATTCACTTGTGCTTCTCCTTTTTTTTTTTTCTGTACAAAGTCCTTTTATTTGACCCTAATATAGATTTCTAAAACCAACATAAAGGTTGACTTAAGTTCTCGCTTGGATCAACTGTTCCTTTAAAATGAAGCAACTGTCAGTTTAGGAGATGAGTGTTTGCTCGATTCTAGCTTCCCAAATGTAGAACGTTTACTGAAAGTCAAACAACAAATCCAAAAATAGAGAAGACACCTTCCAAAAAGAAGTAAACAGTTGAGCCTTCTCTAATGTATTTGTATTCTCCTTGCGTCATTGTTCCTGATGATACCCGAGAAAGCTTAGAAGTATCCTGATATTCTCTACCATGCTAATTTTCTGTTATCAACTGGTTCTTCTAGGAATACTGGAAAATTTCCTCAGATTTTGAAGCATATCAATGTTCAAACCTGAAAACATGCTGTTTCCTTGGTCAATGTTGTTGGCCTGGAATTTGCCTGCCTTATCTTGTTGACTTGGTCTTGAAGAAGAAAAAATTTGGACTTTTGTGGTTTTCAATTGTGATGTAATCCTCACTACATGTTTGCTGTCATGATTGGGAAGAGCCAGTTTGGACTCTTGTTGCTTTAAAAAGTTCCAAAAAGGCAATTATTGCCTGTTTTCCAACTTGCATGATTTGAGATTGGATTCTATAGTGATAGTTGTGATATGTTTACCCTTTTCTTATTCAGGACGACTTTGGATTCATGCTGCTAGCAAGATCCCAGAACCAGCTACGATCCAAGCAATGGAGGATTTTTACAGGGAAATATATGCAGTGGATGGAATTACAGATATTAAATTTCCAGAGCATTATCCAACCTCAAGATTGATAGGTTGTCAATTACTTCCTGGAGTAATGTTAATCTTCTGCTCTTTGTTTTTGTTTATTTATCTATATATTTATTATTATTATTTATTACTATTACTATTATTATTTTTACATATGTTTAAACTAGTATAATGAAAATCTGCATTTTTAAGTTTCAAATGCCCAAGTGTTGGTTGGGAAAATGCTTCTTTTTTTTTTTGGTGTAATTTGTTCCACAGCTCCCCTGACTTTGTACACCAGTTTATAACTTTGTATTGCCTGATCAAATTTCTATATGCCTGCATGGCAGTATACCATGTTATGCCATTAATGCTATTGGATGTGCCAATTTGTGTTCTAGAATTGAAAGGAGTAATGCACAGGTGTGCCTTATTATGCTTTAGTGGATATGTTGGAATATTGGCTTCTGTAGTCAATAGAGTAAAAGATAACTTTGGAAACTTGAGGGAGCCACTCGATCTGAATCCACCATGCGCACTATGTGTGTTTTTCAAAATATTTGCAGGAAAGGGTAACTATAAGATCTAAAGTGGGATCTTAAATATGGGTATTGCTCTCTTGCTCAATAGTGAAGGATCTCCTTTCAGAAAATTTTCCTCTTTCTGCTAGTTTGGTTGGACTTCAGTTCCTTATCAGCACTCGTACTCTGTCCCACATGAACTTCAGCCAACACAGGATGAGGCCTTTAGATCAATCACTTTGAGATGTTCCGTGACTAGGATATGATTTGGTTCGAAACGTAGTATCAAGAATAGCATTATGTTACTAATTAGCAGTTTGAGGGCAAACCCTAGTCATATCTAAGATGAGGTCCTGTTGTCTGTCAGCAATTTTTGTTGCCATTCCATTGTGTTCAATGACTTTGTATACGATAACTTGTTTAGTATCAGGAGAATGGCCCTAATTTTGCAGATTAATGGTCAAGGCCTAAAGGCAGTTGAATATATGTATTTGCACATTTTATATTGACTGGGGAATTCAAGTTGGATCACAGAAGTACTGGTCAAGATTTGATAACTTGCCTTTACCCTTATCATGACCTACGTAGTTCAAGCATGACTCATCTCTAGTACAGTTGTGGATGCCTGTGTATTTAGGTTATCTTTTTTGTGATGCATGGTCCACTACACATTGTGAAAAAAAGAGAATTAGTCTTGGGTGGAAGAAGGGGTGACATAAGGTTAATGCTGAGGCTGTTGTAGTTTGGTCATGTCGTGATTTTGTGTTTTCTTATCTTCTCATAGATAGGTTTTATTCATTGAGAAAGGGGAAACAGAGGAGCTGAGGGGCTGCAAAAGGCCCTTGTCAAACTAGATCCAAGTTGCTTTTCTATGATCTTCTCTACCCTTTATGGACGTTGTCTATGACTTTTGCTATGTGGTGGAAACTGTCTTCTTTAGGTTTCCTTGACTGTGGGGCATTGAGTTTCGTTTTTGTCATAACTCTTTTCTATAGCTCTTCTGAAATGAAGAAACCTCTTTGTCCTGTTGAAGAAAATGAGGAACTATAATAGTACAGCTAACCTGGAGAGTGAACTATTGCACAGGTTGTGTTGAGGTGGTTGGATGCGTTACTCGTGAAGAACTAGTAAACTGGGAGGAGGTTCCTGGAGGGGTAAGCCACTTTGATATCTTGTCTCTCTTTCTTCACGTTTATTGTCGACATTGCAGCTCCTCTAGGTGTTCACCATTGGTAGTCTGTGCTGGTGTCTTTCCTGGTAATACATCCTTGTTTTACAGGTGCAGCTAGAAGGGCAAACTGATTTTTGTTGGCTTTGTGAGCAACCTCAGGTTTGTGTGGTTCATACAGCTCTTTTTTTTTCTTTTTTTTTTATTTGAATGTTTTATTTTTCATTCTTGGTAAGATTACAGGGTTTTGGCATGCTTGTTCTCTATCAAATGTATAATCTCATCTTGGCATAGTGCAGAAACTCATAGTTCCTTTTGAGATGCGAGGCTTCCAAGGAGTTTATAATTTGGAGCATAAGGTAAATGGCATATCTATTGGATGTTTTGGTTTATTCCCATATTTCTTACAGAGTACATATTCAGTTACCCACCTGTTTCTTTCTTCAATGCGTATGGATGTAACTAGTTTCTTTTATGCATTATTGCATTTGCATTTGTTTACGCTTGTACATTTTCTGAAGATACATGAAGCTGCTGCTAGAGGTCTTTCTCCAGTTAGGGTGCCAAGGCCAGTTAAATTTCCCCTTCCAGATCCGCGAGATCCATTCTCTTTGAAGCCAGGATCACTTGTTTCCACATTTAAGGGCTCTGGCATGCCTAAAGTGGAGAAATCAGAGAGTCTTACTGCAGCAGTTGCTGGTGCCCGTGCAGCTGCTACACAATTCTCAAAGAGCGGCGGCTTTGAGCCTGCTGCAGTTGGAGGAGGTGATGAGCCTATCTCTTCTAGAACAAGGAACAAGTCAACAGCGGTTTAGAAGCTTAATATCAATGCAACTGGGAGATCAGATGTACAGGTTATATGCATACAACAGTCAGATCTGAACTTAATAAAGGGACAGGAGTTTGAGGATTTGTATTAGAATGATTTGGATTATTCTGTTTAGCGCTTGCATTTTGCTTTCGTGTTGACTTTAACTTCAGGAGTAAGCATAGTTCTTCTGCAGGTAAAGATAATCTTGTCCATAACATATTGGTTTCTTTGTACAGATTGTAGATGGGGTTTACATTAGACAGCTTGGATTGCCATTTTTAGGAGTTTTTTTTTTGTTTTTTTTTTAAAAAAAAAATGTATTGTAGCGATTTGATATATGTGAAGTAAAAAGATAATTGGGAAATGTGTTTATGAAAAGATAATCTTGTCCATAACATATTGGTTTCATTTTCATTCTGCAGTTTCGTTTTAGTATTTGGTTAATTGTTATTGTTTCTCTAATTTGTTCAGCTTTTATTTGAAAGACAACTATTCATCAAATGGAGTGATAATAATTTTAAAAATAAGCTATTCATCAAAGGGAGTGATACACATGCGTGCCTGGTTCTTGTTTGTTTTACATTTTATGAGACTTGAATGGGGAAAGTAATTATAGAGGAACACAAAAAAAGCAGCTAAAAGCTCAATATGGATGCAAAAGAAAATAAGAATATCAAAAAGGGTTTGGATGCCTAGTAGCATTCTTGGGAGAGACATTAGGTGTTAATTTTTTTTTTTTGGAAAAATGAAGTTAGTTTTGAGAAATGTTAAATTTTTTAAAAGACCTAGAAGTTAATTTTGAAAAAGCGTTAATGCATGTGATTAGACATAATTTAAGTGTAGTATCAAGTATTCGTTGAAAAGTAAGTAGACGCGTATAAATGCAAGCGAGAATAATATGTGCATTCACGTGATAGATTGAGCGTGATTAATATATCTAAGTGGATGTCTATTAGAAAAATCCATAAAAAAAATTGATTATTGAAAAAATATATATATTTTTAAAAAATTGGGGCACTATTAATATACTCTAAATTACACTTAATTTACCATGTGAAAGCACACACTAATAATTATTACCCTACGACGTATTTATAATATATTTTTTCTATTTAACTTTAATCTTTTAAAATATCAGTATATGAACTCCATCTTAAACTGGAAACCCATTAGACAAACACAGCCAATAAAAATTAGAATCTAAAATTAAGTGAAGCAATCAAATAAGAACTAGCCCATTGTGCCCAAAAAAGATTCCAGCAGTGACTTTTTTTTTTTAATGATAATGGGGTGCAACTTACTTCCACCTTCAGTTGTGTTTACAAATGTTAGTGGTTAATTTACAAAAAATAACAACAAGTACGTTTACATTGGATAATTTATTGTGAACAAACACGAGGGAAAAAAAAAAGTAAACTTAATACAATTTGGAGTAGATGTATTTAGATTCTTTACATAATCCTAGAAGATCTTAGTTATGAAAAATTACCTAATCAACAACTTCTTAGATTATTATGTGATCCATGGACCACATGATTTGCTACAAAAATAGAATGAACCGACTCTATTGGCAGAGGCATTTCCGCGAACGTCTCCACAATTAGACCACCAAAACAAACAGCACAGACGAAGCACCATCATTAACGGGCCTGCAAGTGTAAGATCATCTCTAGAAGCAGCATCAGCGCCAGAGAATTTCTTGGTTTTAAGCAATTTTGTTCTGTACGCGGAAAGAAAATCAAGCTCCACCGTTAAACAATTCAAAGAACCTTAGCTAGCTTGAAAATGTGCATACAAGAACACAACTATAAAATCATCCCCATTCCAATCTCATTTCATCATCACCAACAAAATCTTGAATTCAAGAATTCTCTCCGTGAACCAAGAAAAAGGATTCAAGAGTTCAAGAAGGGAATAACCCATCATGTCTAATGTCTCCTTACTTGTGATGTTCCTCGGGGTTGTGGTCCTTGCCACCCCCTCAACGTCTAGGCCTCTGTTTTTTGATCCTGAATTCAATCCTCAAGCTCTGGAACAGCTATATGTGCAAGCTGAGGCAATGGTTGATACCTTGAATGGAGAAACGGCCAAGCGCCATCTTTCCCCATTGGCTTCAAAAGAATGGGATGATGAAGCTGGTGCTGTACTTGCAGCGGTGAGGAGTTATGTGGAGGAAGCTCTTTCACCTTCAGCAACAACAGATGTCGATGCCGAGGTGGGCAAGTATTTTGATGCCCTCCCACCTTCAGCAACATGGGGCATTGAAGAGAACGTATTGGACTTTGGCGATTTCACCCTGTCACCTTCTTACAATGACGCTCAGACGGAGGGTGAGCTGGACAACTATGGCCACATCATTGATGGCGAAGTAGAATCTCTTGACAAAAACAGTCCCCCACAAGTATTGGCTGAGACACTGAGCGATTCCACCGTAGCAGCTTCGGGAAGCGTTGAGGTGGAGAAAGTGGTGGAGAACCAACAAGATGGTGAATCTCTGAAACCAGAAAAAAAATGGGGTATTGATGTTGAAGCAGAGAAATATCATTTTTACTCCCTGTCACCTGCGGACAGATTGGAAGACGAAAAGGCTGCTGCAGAAGATATTGCCGCAGACGCCCAGACAGATCTTTAAAAGGGGAAGACATAAAGCTCCATGAGTTTGGGATGCAAGATCGAGGAAAGAGGCATAGAACCAAGAGGAAGAGGCAAACGCCATTTACCTCAGCACTAATTACATGATCAAATATAGCTAGAATAATTAGTTCTTTATTAATCTCTTTTTGGGATTTGTTAAGGATGATGCTGTACAATATCATTGTCAGAACAGTTTGATTGTCTACATTATTCTCCATCCTTTTTGGACTTATTGAGGACAATGTACGTGTAATTATATGTGAGGTTTGGTTCACAAATTCATTTGGCTTCCATTAGTCTATTGCATGATTCAGATGCCTGGCCTTTGGTGGGTAATTGTCGTCTTTAAAAAATAAATGAGTAATCATTCGTTTCAGGAATTTCAGTCTCAAATTTTGTGGCAATTACATGACAGGCAACAGAATAGTTCCTGATTTCTGCAGTTGGTGATGTAACATGGTCAGGGGAGTTTTCATTAGTCAAGTAGGTTTCAGTTATATGATAAGCATTTGCAAGTAATTTATGCATGGATTGACAATTAATTTCATGAGTACAGACACTTGAAACAAGCATCTACCAAAGGGGACCCTTTCCCTTGTTTTCATCGGTAAAGCAATTCAAGAGCTCGGACCAACTTCTGATTATAAGCCTGCAGACAACTCCTAGAATTCTAAGAAAAGACCTTTTGTCTGCTATCCCTGCTAGTCCAATTCCTTAGGGTTGTGGTTCTTACCACTCTATCAACATTTCGTTTCGTATCTTTAATGAATTTGGTGAGGATAATATGGTGTGAACAACATAGAAACATATCCGAGGATTCTTGTTAATAGAGTTTCTTCTCTTGGTTTTGGTAGCTATCCTTTATATAAAGCTTAATGTAAAACAAATCCAGATTGTGTCGTTCTTTTATTTTCCTTTTATCAAATTTTTATACGAGCAAAAATGCAGATAAAACACTAAATTTATCCGCAGAAGAGGTAACAAGTACAGCGGCAATCAAATTGGTTGTTTCTGCGTTTTCGAAACAAAAGAGCACCACCAACTAATTGCTACGTTCTAAGTTGTTCAGAATTCCCCCCTCCTCCCCCAAAACAAAAAAAAAAAACCCAATTAAACAAACAAGTCATATGTTGATTTTTTTTTTTTCAGTTTCATTTTGTTACCGTTAAACTTGCATTTCATCAACAATTCTCATACAGAAATGGAGCATCTAATTAAAGTTAATGTATTCATCTAGAATTTCTTGATCTCAAAAACTCTAGGAGAGTGCATAGAGTGCTAAGAAGTTGGACAATGATTCAATCAAGGAAAATGAAAAAATTGAACTCGTTGATTGGTGTTTTAGTTAACAAACTCACGTCAGATGAGATGGCCACCAGGTAGAGCATCAAATGTAATCCTTGCAAATTAAGAGTTCGAACCTCCAGGAGGGTGCTCTTCTAATCTAGAGGTTGTAGTTTTCCTCCCTCCAACAAAAAAATGTTGTCCTTCTGATTCAAAGGTAGGTTTCTCTTTCTCTAATTCCCTTGAAAGTAACGTGAATGTTGATCAAAGAATCACCGTGCCAATACTAAAAGCATTGGATTGCATGATTAAACCAATTTTAAGCAAGTTAATCATTACACTGAGCTCACAAATAAGCAAACAAATAAAAACTTATAGGATAAATCTTTTGTTACACTGATAGTGTATATATTAGCGGGTCTGAATGATGTTACACATAAAAAATTTAGAATTCAAATTTAAATTAAGATGACAGTAACATGCATCCAAATTCGATAGCTTATACGCTGTCAGTATAACAGAGATTAATTTAAAATTTTACCTAGAAAAAAAATTATCATTTGCTGATTCTAAATCTGTGTAACTCTTACATTATAGACACAAATTCGTTGGATGAACCTGATAGATCTAATTTCAATTTAACTACTAATAAACAACTTCTTCGAGTACTGTTGGTCGGTCTACACTATTGATGGTCTGTAGTGTGTAGATGCGTGCCAACAGAATTTGAGTTACACGACATTCACTTGTTACAGAAAAGAATGGACCGCTCTATATTATCGAGGCAATACCGCAAACATCTCCATAACCACTAACCAGACCACCACAAGTAACAAAACAGCCAGTATAATCTCTCATAAGCACCATCAAGAGAAATAATCCTCGGCTGGTTAATTCTGTACGATAAATTAAGTAAATTCTTCACTAATTCTATGTCATACGTTGCTTGTTATGCAATTTATACGCAGAGAGAAAATCAATTTCCACCATTAACAATGCAAAGTAGCTTAGCTGACACTCGTTTCAAAATGTACAAACATACTCAACTATAAAAGCACCCAATCTTCCCTCATTCTTTCACCATCTCATTCTTTCAACATCGCCCCAAAAAAAAAAGAAAAAGACAAAATAAAAAAAAAAATTTGTTGCTGATTCTCCGAAAATCCCATGTCTAAGATGTCCTTGCTAGTGGTGTTGCTAGGCATCGTGGTCCTAGCCACTCCCTCAACTTCTACTCGGCTGCTGTCTAACAGCCCCGAATTGAGTCCTGTTGAACAACTATATGTGGAAGCTCAGGCTGTAATTGATACCTTGAAAGAAGAGGCAATCAAGCGCCATCTCGCCCCATTAGCTTCCAAAGTAGGGGAAGGTCAGGCCGCTGAGATACAAGAAGACGTAAAGAACTATATCGATGAAGCCCTATCTCCTTCAGGATTGCTGGAAATTGACAATGAGGTGCAGACACTTTTTGATGCAGGCCTGCCACCTTCAGAAATGTTGGACACGGAAGAGAAGCCAGAGAACTATGGCGATTTCGCCGCATCACCTTTAGGCAAGATGGATGCCGAAGAAATAAAGTCCATCGATGAATTGGCGGAGAAGTCTTCTGGTTCCGCCCTGTCACCTTCCGGAGGCGAAGAGAACCAAGATGAAAACTCCCTGGCACCTTCAAGAACAGGGAATTTTGACGCAGATCAAGAAGTAGAAAACTATCACAATTTCGCCCTATCACCTTCAGATAGATTAGAAGAAATAGCCGTTGAGATGTCGAACGAGGTGCAGGAAACTTATAGCACCGCCCCATAATCATCTGCCCTCTGCAGAAATTAGCATGGAAGGTCGAGGAAGAGCGTAGAACTAAGAGGAAGAGGCAAAAGCCTTGTACCTCAGCAATTTTTACATGATCAATGTAGCTGGATGATTCATTGCTGCTTTTGGGGTCTTTCTTACATATGTAGTTATATATGTAGTTATAATTGAAGAAAATACTCAATTTCTTTCGTGTGTAAACGAAATCCTTGTTTGGGGGGTATTTTCAAGATTTTGCAAAATAATCCTTATCTCAATAGCTCTTAAATAATGTATTTTATCTTTAGAAAAATATTCATATTCCTTCCTTTGAGGATAGACCTTTATCTCCGACTCATCAAATTTCATATTGAGTTTATTGAGACTAACGTAATGTAGTATTAAGGAAAAACATGTAATGTAGTACCATATTATCCTGAATTAGTGTGAATGTCGGCATTGTTTTTTCCTATTATATTCTTGGTTATCCTCCCAAATACCAACGAACGTATTTCATTGCCAAATTTTCCAATTTGTCTCTATGATCTTTAGTTTTGTGGATGGTTGTAATGGGGGTAATTGATATAGGAGACCAATAGTTCCTTTCCGTTACTTATCTTTGAAATGAGGTAAAAGGATTTACCATCCACATTGTAACTTACCAAAAAAAAAAAAAGTTAAAAAAGTTACCCTTTATAATTTGGCATTTTTCCACATGATCGTAGGAGAAAAATTATAAAAATAGAAAAAAGAAAACACATGTGCTAATATAGAAAAAAAATTTGAAAAAAAAAGAAATTAAGGAAATAAAGAAAAAGTCAAGTAAGAATGCCATTTGTCAAATGTACCCTTTTTTATAGTTAACTTTAGTAGAAGGGGCAACAATGTATTTAGAGGTGTAAATGAATCTAATCAAACCGAACACCCTAGTATTCAAACTTGTTTGATTATTTTAACATGTTTGAAATTTCGTTCAAACTTGGCTCGATTATTTGTTGAATCGAATTTGAATGAAATTTTTTTTTATCAAACTTGAATGTTATTGAACATAAAACATTGTTTAAGTTTGGATTGACTAGTTGGCAAATCAAGTTTGAACCTATGTTTTCAAACTCGGACCGGGACTCGACTCGGTAGAGGTCGGGGGTCAGGGGTCAATGGGTTCGACCGGAGTCGATAGGGGGTCGACTCGGATGACGTCATATATACGTCATATATATATATATATATATATATATATATATTATATACACACACACATACCTGCAAATCAAATTTACAAAATATAACCAAAGAACCCAGTCATCTAAATTTATATCTAATTCATCAAACAATTCACCAAATTCATCCAAACTCACAAATTTATAAAATAGAAATCCCATATATGTTCAATCATTAACAAATAGCAATCCAAATAAGGTAACAAGTTCATGTTCAAATGCTTGATAATATCAATCTAAATAAAACACCATGTTCCAAAGAACTATCTAAGCCATTCTTCATCTTCATTTTCATCATCCTTATCTCCAATTTCATAACTTTCGAAGTCGATATCATCAACATCATCCTCATCATCAAGTTGCACAATATTTGTGTCTTTCTTATCTACAAATCATTTAAATACTCATAAATAAAAATATTCAAAAATAGACACAAATTAAAAAGAAACTTAAATAAAGTTAGCAAATATAAACTTACGTGATTGAGAGGCTTCATTCTCGCTAGTTTTGGGAAATTCTTCTTCAATCATTTCTTCTAACTCATCATAATCAAGCTCTCCTTCTTGTTCCTCATCAATTACCCAAAATTAAACTTTATCAATAGTTTCATAATCCACCGGATCATAAGACCTCTTTTTATATCCACCGGATCATAATCCACCGGATCTTTTTCAACCAGAGTCACCTGATTAATTAGGAAAATTTCACTAATGCCATATACAACGTATCTTTAGGCATGTCAATTGAGCCTAATAGGTTGGGTTCTGAAGTAGCCAAGTTTAGACTTAGTGAAAAACATAACAACTAGTTTCAGGTTAAATCGATTTGGGTTTTGAAACATTATGGCTCAAACTCGGCCCTTTTATTTCATTGGGCTTCAGGGTCCAAAATGAGCTTGTCAAAATTCAACAATTTCTCATTCATATTTTTCTAAACAGATAAGATATTAATTAAATAAAATCAAGGTTTATGATTTTAAGAACAAGATTTATCATAATTACTATTACACATTTTTTTAACATAATAGTTTTTTTTTAATGGCAAACCTCATACAGGAGAGGAATGCCGACCCTTTAATTTATTCATGCAACTAAAATTAAAAATTACAAGAATTTGAGGGGGTCGAACCTGATCTCTAAATCACGGAGCCATTAAAATGTGGCAAGAATTGTGAGAAGGTCTAGCTCTTAAAATGTGCATATGATTGGCGGTGCTAAATTATAAGACCTGGAGGTTTATCATACTTGTCTGTCCTCTCAAAATCATCTTCCATTCAAAGTAATCCTCATCCATTTCATCCCTTCCATGTAATCCTCATCCATTTCATCCATGTAAAAATGGTAGAAAGTTTTTAACATACGCCATAATAGTAAAGTTTTTGAAAAATCACAGGCATCATATTCGGGCAACAATAAATTTGCAAACTGATACATTTGTCTTTCATATAGGTGATTCAGTTAGCTGGAAAGGGAGAAACGTGCATAAAAGAAAGGGAGAGAACTGAGAACAGAGCACAACAGTTGTGGCCTTCGTATTAGTTTCACACCCGCAAAATCCAATCCCGAAGGCCCAGCATAATGAATCAAAAAATTCCAGCCACATATCAACTTTAGCATAACAAATCAGCAATAATAGCCTTCAGATTGTAAAAATTACCAGATTTAGGCTTTAGCTTCAGTTCACCCGCTTGCTAACTACTTGCTTCTCTTGAAATCTGAACGAACTGGTGGTGTTGCGGCGGCGGAGGCCAGCGATTGAAGGCTGTGGATCTCAAGAGTGATGGAGGCCAGAGATCGGCGATGGATCTCAAGAGCGGCGGTGGTGGCTGAACGGCTATCGGCGAGGTTATCGCCTATCGGCTGAAGAAGAAACACTCAATTGACTCAAACAGAAGCTCACGAAAGCTTTTGTCAATTTTGCTCTATTTTTTCAGTCAATTTTTAGCGTTTTTAGTTGGTCAATTTGTCAAAGTCTGACCCAAAAAAAGGCCGAAAATGGAAAAAAAATAAAAAATCGGAGTTAATCAAAAATTCCGGTTCACCGGTCCAACCCGAGTTATGACCGAGTTTGACCGATTTTTTAACAGCCGAGTTTTTTAGCTAGCTCGGACCGGATGCCTGCCCGGTTCCCGGTCCGACCGGCCGGTCCGGTCCGAGCCTGAAAACACAGGTTTGAACGAGTTTTTACCAAAATCAACTCGATTCGAGTATGGAGTAGCTTAGTTCATCTTTCAACCCTATATATACTTTAGCTCAAAATTCAAGGGTGATGTATAATTTTTATAATTATATGTATATCCGAGACTTATGTGGAAAAATTCTAAACCACAACAGAATAAAATGTAATTTATCCTTAAAAAGACACCAAGTTAATGTTAAAATTTTCCAGAAAGTAAAACTAACATGCAGTGTTATTTAAAAAAAAAAAGTTATTCCAAAAAAAATTTCAAAATAATCTCCCATCCAAGCACACTGTTTTCACTCCTTTTTTGTAGCTGCAATGATTATGGCTTTTTTCGGTCTTTTAACATATTAATTAGCCCGCCCTTAGCACGCAAGGCATATATTGATCTTGATCGTTCTTGGAGCTGCTTGAGCTTCTTATACCTGTATTCATACATACATGATTTGCCAAAATCATTTTAAGCTTGAAGCCTATTCATTTTCCATGCTCATAGCACGATGCTCTTCCAAACGATTGAGTCACCTTTGCAGCTGCAAGGATGATTTAATTAAAATTAAAAATAATTAATAACCAAATCGGCTGAGTCTAATTCTCTCATCTCTTTGAAATTCAGTTCTAGGCTTGGCAATTCAAATTATCGGGGCATAATTGTAGTTCCAATTGCAATTTTGGTTTGTCAGTCTTGTCTCATGTGCAAAGGTGCTGTTGAATTAGATACTTCACGTACATCCTCTTCGATCATTTTCAAAATACTTCTGGTTTTGCATTTGGATTCACCGAAAATTGGAAGCAAGTTACATGGCATTTAAGCTACACCTAACCATTAGTTACAAAAAACCAAAATCTATAATGGTAAATTAAACCAATTAACTTTTTCTTGGATTATTCTAAGATTTACAGACAAATATGATGTTTTGAGTATGCCATCACAATTTGAAGCGTTACAACAAATTTCTTCAAAAAAGAAAAAAGAAAAAATATACTCGACTCACTCCACTATAAATCCATCACCTTTCCTTCTGCAATCTCCACCACCAAACATTCACTAGAAATCAACAAGCCATGTCTGCTAAATTCCTGCTAGTGTTCTTCTTTGCACTTGTATTTTTGACCATTGATTGCTTGGCTGCTCGACCTGAGCCAAGGGATCAAGAAAACGATGGTGATCTGTTTGTTCCGTTTTGTGTTGGCCAAGATTGGCTACAACCCTTAAAAAGAAGCGATCATAATAAGCCGAATGTCAACTGCCTCCCTCACAAGCGCCCTAAACCACCACCCCAACCACCTAAAGCACCATCTCCCTCACAAGCTCCGCGACAACCGGAACCACCAGAATCAATACCTCCTCTCGCAGTTGTGATACCACCAATTTCGTCATCACCGCCACCTTTGTTCGGAGCAAAACCACCGCAAGGAGAAGATAAACCAGGGTCTCCTGGCAGGCAGCCCGGCGAAAGCTTGGGAGCACCATCTCCATCACAAGCTCCACGACAATCGGAAACATCGGTATCATTTGCTCCTGTCCCAGTTGTGGTACCGCCAATTTCGTCATTACCACCAACTTCGCTAGGAGCAAAACCACCACAAGGAGAAAAACTAGCGTTTACGGGCCGGCGGCGGGCGGCCTGACAAAAGATAGAGAGCACCTCCGAAATATGCACCAATAAGATCACCTATCAGCGTTGAGCATTTTCGAGTTGTATGACAATTTCTATCCGTGGTTACATTCAAATATAAATGTCAAAATATTCGCGGAATTATATAATCTTATTGTTTTTCGTTTTATAATGTTCAACTTAATTGCAAGATAAAACTTGATTAATTGTCTGATATCCTCCTATCTCTTGAACCAGGTTTCAATATTTTCCTCTTACTTTTATAATTTTCACATAATAGTCTACTATGTCTTCCACAGACCATATGGCTAAGGTTAACCACATCATCCAATTGTACTTCCAAATTAGAGATAAAATTTTACATCTGAGGATGTGATTATTTTGTGATCGCATAGTCAACGGATGATTGATAAATTAAGCTTACATAACTACAATACTAATCTAACTTTCAATGGTTGATCAATCCTGGACGATTATCTACTACTTTATAAGAGATCAAGGATTCGACTATAGAGACATATTTAAAAAATATATTAAAAAAAAGACAAGGAAGAAATTCAGAGACGACAACAATTGAAAATGTTGGGGGATAGTTTAGTAATTGTGCAAATGAAATCACAATTTATTAAAAAAAAAAGAAAAAAAACTCAGGTGGTCATAAATACTAACTCAATAACGTGTAGAATAATTCGGACACTATTTTGTCTAAACTATAATCACATTTAGAATTTACTTTACAATTCAAAATCACAATGATGGATTTATATAGAGTTACGCTTTTGCCCCAACTTGGTCTTATAATATTGCCTATGGGCACTCGCTAAAATATATTTCAAATGTTATATTTTTGAAAATATAATATTAATTAAGAAAAGTAAATAAATACAGGTAGGCAAAATTAAATAAGGAAAGTATATAAATGCAAGAGAAGATAATAATTATTAATATATGTATGTACAAAGTAGATTAGGTGAATATTAGGATAATAGTTGTTAGATGAATAACCGTTAGAAAAACCCATTAATTAAATTGACCGCCCAAAAAAAAGGAAAGGAATAAAAAAGCTTTATTACTTTCTTTTCTTTTTTGTTGATACGATAGATTATCCTACACTAGGGGGGAGGGGAAGGATCTGAAGATATCCAAGGATAATTCGGAGGGGATCGAACCACCACCGAATCAGACAGGTGCACTATGCACCCGCCTAAATTTTTTAAGCAAAACCACATTTTTTTATGTGACAAATTGGTGGGAGAAAAGCATCAAGTTTTAATGCATTGGTGGTGGTCACTAGGGTTGTAATCGAGTCGAGTAGAGCTCGAGTATCGTCATACTCGAGCTCGACTCGACATACAGTTAGGGTGCTCGAGCTCGAGCGAGTAGTATTATTGGAGTTCGAGCTCGAGCTCGAGCTCGAAGCTTGCTCACAGTACTCGAGCTCGACTCGCATGGGCTCGAGTCCATTCGAGCCTTATCGAGTTCGCTCGAGCTCGTTCGAGCTCGAGTTATTAAATTTTATTTTCTTAATATTTTTTAAGCAAAAAGACATTATTGCCCTTTTAAAATTTTTATATGACTTGAAACATTTCGTAAATTCGACAATTCTTTTGGGTATAAGGGTAATTTTATAATAATATATTAAATAATTAAAATTAAAAATATTAAATAATTAAAATTAAAATGCTCGATAAGGCTCGTTGAACCTTCGAGCATCGCTTCTGGATGCTCGAACTCGACTCGAACTCGAGCTTCTCGCGAGCAGCTCGATTCGATTACATCCCTAGTGGTCACCGGCTTTTGGCCCGGTGGTTTTTATTACTTTCCCTAAAGAAGCTTTCTACCATGGCAAGTAATTTCATAATTTTTTTCAAGCGCGTGGCATTTATTGCTAAAAGATAAAGGGGAGGCTACAATTGTCAACCAAGTCAATTAAATCCCTCCTGTTTTATTGTAGATTAATAAGGAAGGAAATCACTGGATACAAGGAGTTACAGCACAAAGGTCGAGAAATGAATGGGGATTCCTGCCAATGTTTTACTATAAAACAATCTGCTCTCTTCAGTCTTGGATGCACATTGACAAGAAATTCACCTGCAGCCATGTCTATCAAACACTTGCTAGTGTTCTTCTTAGTTGTGGCACTCATCACCAATTCAAAAGCTCGACCTGAGCCAAATACTGATTCCGACAATTCACATGAATTTTCAGAATCTGATGATGAACTGCGGCTAGATCCTTCAGAAGAAGGGTCTAATGACGGGCAGTTTAATCTTGATTCATCAGAGCCACCAGCCGCAGATGCACCAAGACCACATGACCACCACCACCACGGCCGCCGCCATCATGGCCACAAACACCACGGCCACCGCCATCATGGTCACAAACACCACGGCCACAAACGCCACCCTCCAAAACCTTCACCATCACCCGTAACAACACCAGTGCCTCCATCAGTACAAGGACCATCAGGTCCATCACCCTGGGGGGTCCAGCCACCGACTCCGGTGGGAGGACCATCTCCTTATGCAGCAATAGCAAATCCGCCGGCGGGAGCACCGTCATCACAAGTACCAGCAGAATCATTCATTTTCGGATGATCAAATATTTAGCGCTGTAATTGTACAACGTTGATCGCATGTCTAAATAAATTCCAGTCTCAAAATAACAGAGAACTTTTTTGACCAGACAGATTTTACTATAAGTTCTAAATTTGCATGGGATTTTTTTTTTTTTTTTAACCTTCAAGATTCAAGTTGTTGAAGTGTTGAACCGCATATTTATTGATTAAAGTGTCCTTTCCCGTTGCAGTTTTCATCATGTTAATGGACTGAAAATACTGTATTTATTTATTTACGACATCCATAAAATGAGAAAAACAAAGTACATAATGGCAAATTAATCTGACACATGCTTCTTCACAACGGTGCCATCTTTCACAAATACAGGAATTAATTGTTCGATGAATGTGTAATCAAGTGCAGCTCTTTTAATGACTATTGCGTTAAAAAAGAAATTGAATATTTAATGCAGGCCCCAAGTACATATGCTTAATTTCTCCTTCTTTAATTGATCCGCGCAGTTCCTTTACAAATTAGCAGAAACACAATCACACATTCACTCC